AGTAAAAGATGGTGATGGAAAAGTAAAGGACCAACAAAAACAACATTTGATATGAATGTATAGCAACCGACAAAAAGACAATAGTTTTGAAACAGCTGACAGCTGTTTGGATCCTGTCTTTATTGGAAACAACAAAAACAATAACAGCAGCCACCACAATACAAATACACACTCATTCAGTCTCTCCTATCCTTATCGCCTTGATATATATACATATGCGTGCTCTCTACAACTGGAAGGTACAAATGATCCTTAAATATCATTTCGATTTTTCTTCGTTGTTGTTTTATTATTATGATCATAATTTTAAAGATTTTAATTAAATTTTTTTTTATTTTATATTTTTGTTTGATACTCGTATTTTGGTTCCTACCACATCCGTTTTTCATTGTGATTGTATAGAGTGTGTGGTAGTTGTTATTAAGTTTTATATTTTTTTATTTCTGTTGTAGTTTTTGTTGTTGTTTCAATATCAAGTTGTTTAATCATGTGTGAGTAGTATGTGTTATTGTATCTATATACATACATATATCCTGTTTCCTTTAATTTTTCTGGCAGGGGAAATTAAATTCATTATTTCTTGTATACCAGCTTATATGTATGTATACATATTTGGAAACAATGTGCATATGTTTTTATTATAGTATGTACTTATGTACATAAATATCTACTGCTAATGGAAAATATTTACCTTGTTCTGGTTTGTATAAACAAAAAATATTATTATGCAAAATGATAAGAACTTGTTCTTATTGTTTGTCCATAATATTAAAGATAAATAAAGGAATTTCGTATCCTTGAACACCTTTAAAAACAAAACATTATTTTTTGTTTTTGCTCATATGTATGTATGTACGTTGATTTGAACCAGTAACTATAATTCTTAATTCTTAAATTTTTGAATTCTAAATCTAATTAACAAAGTCTTACTTTCGTTAAAGTTTACTTAACCCTTTCCATCAGTGCTACTAATAAGTCCCACAACTTGATATTTCTCATCAAGATTTACAATTTTTTATTCCCCTATAGAATTACAGAAAACTAAAGTTCGATATTAACCTCAGAAAAATATTTATTTTACAGATAAAAAACTAAAGTTCGACGCTTTTAGACTTATAGTTATTTTCAGATTTTTCATTAAACTATACCTTTCCATTCTAAACTTCATAATTATGATAAGCTTATTATAGCCAACCACAAATCGATATTAAAAAATCTGGCTCCGTTACAATCTTCCGCAGAGAAAACACCATAAACATGAAAAATTTCAGCTATATGTATCACTAGCGTACCCTGGTTGCAACCCCTAATCGAAATTATATACAAATTATGATAAAGTGAAATATTCAATAAGTACCATTTGAAGCACGATATTTGTTGTTCCAAAAAGCCCCCTCTTATAAATTCTAATTCTGCTAATTTTGTGATGGTCGGACCCCAACCCCATACAAGATCCCCTTAAGAAAAAATATATTAATAGAAACAAGCAAATATTACATCTACATATTATGTTTTGTTTCAGTTCTAATTCAATTCTATTTCAGTTTTAGTTCAGTTCTAGTTCAGTTCTAGTTCAGTTCTAGTTCAGTTCTAGTTCAGTTCTAGTTCAGTTCTAGTTCAGTTCTAGTTCAGTTCTAGTTCAGTTCTAGTTCAGATCTAGTTCAGTTCTAGTTCAGTTCTAGTTCAGTTCTAGTTCAGTTCTAGTTCAGTTCTAGTTCAGTTCTAGTTCAGTTCTAGTTCAGTTCTAGTTCAGTTCTAGTTCAGTTCTAGTTCAGTTCTAGTTCAGTTCTAGTTCAGTTCTAGTTCAGTTTTAGTTCAGTTCTAGTTCAGTTCTAGTTCAGTTCTAGTTTAGTTCTAGTTCAGTTCTAGTTCAGTTCTAGTGCAGTTCTAGTTTAATTCTAGTTTAGTTCTAGTTCAGTTCTAGTTCAGTTCTAGTTCAGTTCTATTTCAGTTCTAGTTCAGTTCTAGTTTTGTTCTAGTTCAGTTCTAGTTCACTTCTTCTTCAGTTCTAGTTCAGTTCTAGTTAAAAAAATTGTATAGGACCCTACCTATAGAAATTTTTAATTGACCCTACCATCCATATAAGGTCAGAGATTAAAACAGTCTTAAAGGTGCCTATATAGCTATAAAATTCGATATGAAAAATTTTTATAGAGATTGAAAGCTGAAAAGTTTTTTAAGGATCGGCCCCTAGTGGACTCAACCCCACACAAAAAGTTCCTTGTAGGGCTTTAAAAATATTAGTAGATTAATAAAATTCGAATTATACAAGTTTTATAGACATTTAAATATCTGGCAATTGGCCTATATTGGATCGAAAACCTCGTTTAAGCCCATCTTCAGACTTAAGCGCTCGTAACTTGTTTAAAAATCATGTATAGTGGTGAAATTCGACATAAAACAGGATTAATTTTAAAACATTAACTTTCCTTATAAATTCTTTAGAGCTTGGTCCATGACCCACACCGGCATTCAGGGCCGTGTTACGAAAATCGCCATAATGTGATTATTGTTAAAATTCAGCATAAAACTAATAAATGTATAAATCGTGGAAGTACATGCTTTAATGTTGGGCATACAAGATTCGTTAATGCCGAATATAACACTTCTTTATGGCACTCTTTTTTTCACTTGAAATAGCAAAAATTTTATTTTAAGAAAGTTGTGAAAAGAGCTCGGGGATCAGACCTTAATCCACTTTAATTATGAAAACTTCAAATAACTTCCTCTCATTCCGTTTGTAATAAATCGAAAAGTTGGACTTAGACACACAAAAGTATACATATATACAGACTATGTATGTATATAATCTGGGTACTTACTAGATTCTAAGACGATCAGGTCATGTGTCTCCTTTTGTCTGTGGAATGCACGAAAGGAAAGAACTATTTTCTATTGATAATAAAAATGGACAATATCGGCTCACGATATCATTTATCCCCCATGCAAGTGACCCCTAGATTTGCATTTTGCACTCAAAAATGATATTGTTATGGCGAACATCTGTCATATTTAAGTCGATGTTCACCTATATAAGAATCCCTTCAGGAAATGGCTTTAACCTCAGTAACATATTTTCAAATTTTGGTAATGAGTATTGTAGGTAATGTAGTTATTTCACACATAACTTGGTAATGAGTGGTCTTTGTTAATATAATTATTTAATTTTTTTTGGATAGGATTTGTAGCCAAATGTAAAGAGCGTATATCTTATAAGGAATTAGTTAATGATTTTAAACCTAGTCGATGTTAGATGATTTTTGAAGAAATATTGATTTGTACCTTTGTGTAAAAACTATTCCAAATAGCACGATAAAACAACTTATTAATGGACCATTTGGTAATAGAATAGACTAATAAACACAGAAAATAACTGTAAAGCCGGTTTTAAATCCGGAAAAGTCGGGTAAGCTTATTTGTAACCATTTTTTGGTCATCGTCAAACAAAAATAAGTAGTTATTCACCCAAAAAGAAAGTACTTACACTTTGCTCCAATATTACTTGCCTACCTAACGGGTAAGTAAAGATTTTTGTGGGACGTTTATAAGTGGCTTAACTATATAGATCGATATAGCGAAGAAAGTTTTGTAAGAACAAAATCATTCTACTCCCTTTCATGAGGATCGTGAGTTTTTCTTCTAGTCGGTGACTCTAATTTCAAAATTATATTTGATTAATTCAATGGGAAAGAGAAGCTTCAGCTATATATGGATGTATTATGTGAACTATTTAGGAAGCTGTTTGATTTATTTCCCCTAACACACCTTTTTGAAAGATTTATCACTAAAAATTTTTCAGTAATCAAATTACACACCCACATTTTCAAAGTGATTTAATTTAAAGCAAAACTAAAAAACTAAATCAAATTTAAAATTGAAATAGGATATTCCAGGGAAAGAAATTTACAAAATAATAAAAGGACAATATTATCAATAAAAATATATGTAAATTTAAAGGGATTTTTATAAATTTTTTTTATAGTCAGCAAAAATACTAACAAGGTGTCAAGAATCAATAGAAATACATATGTGGGGGGTCAGTTAGGTTTATGCCTAAAAACCATTTTTATATTTTTATTACTAAAAAGGGGTGGTTGGTGTTTTGTTTGAATGAAAAAAAGTAACGGTCGTTTTATAAAATCCTAATGATACGAGTTAAAAAGGAGAAATATTATTATTTGTCAGTTGTTTAAATAACTATATGCAGGGTTTTTATATACAACAAAATAAGTATTTATCGGTATATGGAATTATTTTCTGAAAAATAAGTTAATAAAAGCCGGCTGCGTTTGCGTTTTTCTACAAAACATATAAAATAATAATAATTCAAAAAATTTCAACCCTCATTTCTTGGCGTTAGCGAGTATAACACGAGTCAACGACTTAACAGTGTTTGGAAATAAAATGAGTTGTTTGTAGAACGAGTAAGTAGAATATTTTGGTGTTTTTTTCAGTCTATCTATAAGGAGCAGATGTTTCCTAAAGCGGAACGCGCCAACCTTATTACACGTGTATTTATATTATATATGTTTTGTTGTGTGTGCGTGTATGTATGGATTGTAAAGAATTGAAAGTTGCATGTTGTACTACTACTGGTGGTATCTTGACATACAATATAAACTCTAAGGGGGAAGAAAAATTTATTTGAGCTGAGCTCTAAGGCTGATGACGATCGATATACATGGTTGGATATTTAACGTATTTTTTGTTTTTGTTTATTTGTCAGTCAGTCAGTCCGTCTGTGACTGTGTTTTGTTTGAGTTAAATTTTGTTGGCTGAGTTTCGAAGTGAATTACTTTCAACAACTGCAGTTAGTACATTAGTCTTGAAAAATAATTCGGAGAGTGAACACGTTTCGGTTTGAAAAGAAAAATATAAAACTATTTTATAATTTGTTAAAGAAATTTTAGAAAAACAAAAGAAAATATTCATGTTTTTTTTTAAAGTGCTAAAGTGGAAACATTAAATTAAAATCCAAAAAGAAAAACATAACAAGCAAAATGTCTAAACATAATTATACAAATCCGGCTTTTTGCCAGAACAGTGAATTTTATCCCGTGCCCTCGGCCAACAAAGAAAATGTGGAATCAATTTATAATCGTAGCTTACAAATGAATTTTAATTCGAATACAACGCGTTATGATCCGCGCGAAGGTCCATTGCGTATGCAACGAAGCATGTCCACGCGTTCGGTGGCCATTAAAAAGTCTATGGTCGATACATCACCAGCTGTACATCAGCCACAACAACAACAACAACACCAACGTATGCAGCACCATCAACTGCAGGAAAAACAACAATTGCAGTTTGTGCAGCAACAACCAGCGCGTCCTATTAAGCCTCAAACTTCTAATCGTTTGAATGAGTCATTTGAAACTAGATCAGGTTCTGGCCGTTATGCTTTAGTGCCTGTAGAAGAGTTGCCTCAAAATCAAAATAATCGTTATGCCATTGTGCCCGGTCCACCTTTAACGAATATAAATAATCCTTCCTCACCCTCTCCCTTAGTGGTTAGCAGACGTTATGCCAAATCTCAAGATGATTTAGATCGTTATTCTTCACAAGTACAATTGGAACAGGAAGAGCCGCATTCTTTTCATGAAGATCCCTCAGCAGCTCCTTATGCCAGTTTGCCACCCATATTAGATCAACCACAGCTACAACCTAAACGCAAAATATCCCTGCAAAATCGTCAATCTTCGGTGCAAAACTTACAGCAGCAACCCCCCAAAATAAAACATGCCTTTTCCAGTGATTTTGGCAGCAAAACTTTCTTAGTGGTAGATAAAAACTCCAATCAAAGATATCAAATGGTGCCCACCGCTGAGGATGAGGAATTGGTAGATGATAATCATGAGATAATACAAATGCATAATGGTAAAGCCCATCGTTATGCCATGATACCAGCCGAGGATGAAGAGGATTATGAACAACATCGAGAGGAAGAAGAGGAGGAAACTTGTTTAAGTAACACCGATCTAAATCGTAGTGAAAACTTTTTACCTCGAGGCTATGAGCATACCCGTACACCCATGCGCACCTCTACGCCCCAAAAAGGAGCCTCCATGGCTAATTTATGCTCTTATCCCAATACCCCACTCAAAAATCCCCAAGCCACTAAAATGCTACACGAGTTACTCTCTACCCCTCCACGCAAAACTCCCGTTAAACCCACAACCCGTTCTCAGCACAATACCCCGCGGCAAATGTATGCTTCTCAAAGAGATTTAAGAATGCATTACGCTCAACAAAACTATCACATACAAAATGGCACCCAATCAGCTCCACCTCCTCCACCACCCATAATGCCACGTAAGAATTCACAACTTTCACCACAAAGACTGCACTACGAGACGGTTAAACCGTTAACAAATGATCGTACTATGGCTGTTATACAACCTAGACTGGCGGGTTCTCGCATACATCCTCAATTGGAAGAAGAGGAGGAGGAAGATTGCAGCAGTATACAGCAGAAGTCACCCAATAATAATTCATATCCTCAGAAAATTGCCAATGCTACTATAACATTGGCTATTGTTTCGTTAATGCTAGTATTGGGAAGTTCTATGAATTCGGCCCTAATTGTTTATATGATTGCTCATGTAAGTACTTTTTTTGTTTGGGGGATTTCTATAAAAGCAAGAGGCAACAAAAGGAAGATGTTTTAGGGGAATTTTTCTCATTAAGCTATTGGTTCTTGGGGGATAAATAACAGTCTTGTTGTAACGCTTAATATATATGTATATGTGATAAATTAACCAGATTTAAAAAACAATTAATATAAAAGTACTTTTTTATGACATTTTTTAGGTTCCTTAAGATTAAGGGCCTTCCTTATTTGTAAGCATTTGTCATAGGTGTATGAAAAAATTCAAATTTATTCTATAAACCTTTGATAAACGTTTATGAGCAAGACCTTTAGTTTTTATAATTTATGGGTTTCTTCTTATTTAGAACAAAAAAGTACACAGCTTATTAATACTATAGCTAGTAAAGTACTTTTTTCGTGGTACATTTCAAAAAAAAAAAAAAAAAAAAAAAAAAAACATCTGGGATGTACAATAACTATATTATTTTTCAGTATACACAGCTTTTTTACCAAAAGATTTTGTAAAAGTACAGTCATACATACAAAAGAAAAATAGTACTTTTTTGTAAAAAAGTACTATTTTATAAAATTTTAACAAAAAGCGTAAAATTTTTTGTGGTAATAGTGCCCTTATTCAAACATCTTTAAATCAGAACTTTTTAAAGTCCATATTTGAATCCTTATTCAAAACATTTGCCACATTTTTCAACATATAAAGTACTACTGTAAAAGTACTTTTTTTAAATTTTAGCATAAATAACAAAATAACACTTTTTAGAAATGTTAGTAGTTTCTTAAAGAGCACTTTTTGTGGTACTTTTTCCAGATTATCAAATAGTTATGGACTCTATTAAAATTTACTTAAGAGTACAAATCATGGTACTTTTCTTTCGTATTTTTCTAAAAAAAAAAGTACTTTTTAGATGTTTTTTTAATAAAACGAATATTGAGGGTGTAAAATTAAAGTACTTTTGAAAAAGTACTTTATTTAATTTTAGTATTAATAACAAAATAACACTTTTTTGAAATGTTAGTAGTTTCTTGAAAAGTACTTTTTTGTGGTACTTTTTACAGATTATCAAATAGTTATGGACTCTATTAAAATTTACTAAAGAGTGCAAATCATGGTACTTTTCTTTCATATTTTTCTAAAAAAAGTACTTTTTAGATGTTTTTTTTTTAATAAAACGAATGTTGAGGGTGTAAAATTAAAGTACTTTTGTAAAAGTACTTTTTTAATTTTAGCATAAATAACAAAATAACACTTTTTAGAAATGTTAGTAGTTTTTTAAAAAGTACTTTTTTGTGGTACTTTTTCCACATTATCAAATATTTATGGATTCTTTTAAAATGTACTAAAGAGTACAAATCATGGTACTTTTCATTCGTATTTTTCTAAAAAAAAAGTACTTTTTAGATGTTTTGTAATAAAATTAATGTTGAGGGTGTAAAATTAAAGTACTTTTGATAAAGTACTTTTTTAATTTTACCATAAATAACAAAATAACACTTTTTAGAAATTTTAGTAGTTTCTTAAAAAGTACTTTTTTGTGGTACTTTTTCCAGATTATCAAATAGTTATGGACTCTATTAAAATTTACTAAAGAGTACAAATCATGGTACTTTTCTTTCATATTTTTCTAAAAAAAAGTACTTTTTAGATGTTTTTTTTTTTAATAAAACGAATGTTGAGGGTGTAAAATTAAAGTACTTTTGAAAAAGTACTTTTTTTAATTTTAGCATAAAAAACAAAATAATACTTTTTAGAAATGTTAGTAGTTTCTTAAAAAGTACTTTTTTGTGGTACTTTTCCAGATTATCAAATAGTTATAGACTCTTTTAAAATTTTCTAAAGAGTACAAATCATGGTACTTTTCTTTCATATTTTTCTAAAAAAGTACTTTTTAGATGTTTTTTTTAATAATACGAATGTTGAGGATGTAAAATTCAAGTAAAAGAGTAAAGTTCTTCTCTAGAAAGTCCTTTGTTGCCTAAAGCTTTTAATGTAATCCACCATTTTTTTTTAACAACTAACATCTAAACTAATTAATTTCTTCTCCAACTTTTAGATGGGAAAATCCTTTTATCTGCAATTCAGTTTAGTAGCTGCCATCAGTGGTGTTGGTTTAGGTTTCTTAGGTTTTCGTTCGCGACATTGCGAATGGTTACCCAATCGTAGCTATACTTCGGGTTATATATTGGTAACCATGTTCTGCTTGCTCAAGTGTTGTGGTCTTTTAGTAATACTAGTGTTGGATCCGTATCCTGGTTTACCTTTACATGATGTTACCACTGGCATTATTTTAGGTCTATCCACTTTCACCATGTTCTTCATTGGTCTGGGGGTAATTGGTACCCTGTGGTGTTATCGTCCACCACCAGATAATCGTGTTGATGTGGTGTAAATTTAGTTTCATAAATAATTTTAATATATAATTTATTTTAATAATTTTTTTTGTTTTGTTTAATTTCGTTTTTTTCTTCTTATTATTTTTTTAGTAATTTAATAACATGTCATGACGGCTAAAATACCAAAAAACAAATCTTATAATAATTATATTTTAAGTAACTCTCCGAATAATTTCGTTTTCAAAGACTGTATATATAAGAAAAAAACTAAGAAACTAATTAGTTGTTAAATATTTAATAATTTAAATTATTGTTTTATGTGTGTGTATGTAGTAATATGTATGGTGCAGTTATTGGTTGTATTAAAAATGATTAATTAATAATAATTAATATTTTTTTTTTATTTTAGTTTAATTATACTTTTAAATTTAGTTATAATTTAGTGATTTAAACATGTTGTATTATATATATTTATAAATATAAATAAAAAAGTTGTATATCTTTAATTTAAAAAGTTTTTTTTTCTGAAATTTTTGTCATGATAATCATATTTTCTACGGATACATAATGATAATAGTGTAGATTTTGGAAAAGTTTTTAAATTCCTGAAATTTTATTAAAATGTTTCTATAAATAGAAAATGGATTAATCATTATTGAGTAAACATTATTGAAATAAAATTGAAAATTTATCTGAAATTTTTAGATAATTAAAAAGTTTATCCGAAAATGTTCAATAATTGGATCTGTATCCAAAAGTCTTTGTGTTCAAATCCCTCAAAATCTTTGGGTTCACTCGGAATACATATATACCAGCATACTACTTAACATCGGTCTTGTTCCTCCTGAAAATGCTAGTCGACCTCCTCTCTTTCAGGTAGCTGTATAAAATATTTATGGTTCTAGCCATCAATTGGCGTCTACCCGTTTTTTATTCAGACCTGGCATTTGTCGGGTTAGCTTCCTGGAGCTCTGTTATTGCTGATTTTTCTTGTATGGCCTATAATCCATATGATGTAAAGACTACCTCTTGAAAAGTATTCAGTTAAGGCTCTCTTACAGTCGCATCCGGTCTTAGATTTGAACTTTTCATCTGATATAGTCTTAACTGTCTTCTAGCTGTCGGTAAATATGTTAACCTCTTCCGCTTGACTATGATATTCTATCTGAGATCAGTGCCTTAATGTTTCCGACAAATTCTGTTTCTGGTATGCGATCAGGTACATCCGATGTTTGTGTACAGGTTTACAATTTGTTTAGTATACACTGTCGCGAATATCGAAGTGCTTTACGTGAGCATCTGGCGTGTAGCCCTATCTCACGGTAGTCTTTCTCATCCACAGGGTGAGCTAAAATATAACGACTCACCAGCGCCACTTTGTGTATCTTACACGCAGTTGGCAATTTACGTATATGGATGCCGGTCCATTATATGCGCACTTTGCTCAAGTACTCGAGCTATCTAATCTCTGCCATAGTAGTCCCATTGAGGAAGAACAGGTGTCATGAGCAAGCTCTAACTTCGACAAAGGAAAAAACCTTATATGTCCTTCAACCACACTACTAAGACAAGCCTTATTTCAGTGGCCACAAAGACCCACTGTGATAAGTTGAGCATGTTTTAAAGTAAACTCTAACACACTCAACCATGAAGGAAAATCGCCGATAAATTAAAGAAAGGGCAGTGACGATCTTGCATCACAACTCCGTCCTGCCAAAACATTATTCAGCACATCATAAACCACCAAATCACTTCATCCGTCAAATCCATCAATTACTCCAACCGCTCTATCGAATCAGAGTACACATCAGAAAGCACCAGAAAAACTTCACTTCGTATACCAAATCTTTGCATTATCAGCTCAAATCCAACATTTTATTAATCAACAGTCATGCTCTGTAGTTTGTACCGTTCCTAGCATCTAGGGACGATAAGAGAAATTCATCATGAAAATTATATTTCACTGTGTATCAGTCTTTTAACCAAGCACCCCCTTCCTGCGATTTAGGTTTCAACCACAGCCACTACGTGCCCAAAAGTCCTGTGGGCAACTGGCCACCCGTAGTACCCGATTATGTGGTGCTCTGGTTAGACCTCTTTTCAATTCATGCAAGGACTAGGCCAGGCAGTGAATTGTAAACAACAGTTTATAGTCCCGGCAGACTAGAGGTATTGGTAACACCTCTTTTCCCCCGGATTGCAATACACCAAGATGAGGTCTATCATCAAGGAAACATGCCCGGGGGGAAGTATACACTGTCAATTTGACTAAAGATTTGTTGGGCCGAAATGTCGTCTCATATCTTATATACATACACATGTTTTAATTGAAGAAGTATCAAGCAACGCTTCCAGAGTCTTTATTGACGTAGTGCCCATGATACCTAGTGCCCTATTTATGCCCTAGCATGTATACTGAACTCTGGTTTTATATTACAATTTGGTCCACTAATGTTAACATTTATCACTCTCTTTAGCCTCGTGTTCAGGGCCTCCCTTTCCCCTTAAAATTATAACGACGTCGTCTGCATAGCAGACAGATCTAAGTACATTCATGATTACGGTCCTTTGTAGGCTTTTAATTGTGATTACTCAGATTAAAAGGGACAAAATGGAATTATGCATTACACCAAATTACTTGTTTAGAGCGGTCGAAAAGACTTTGGACTCAAGCGAGAAGTTTGAATGTTAATCTGGCGAAGACTGAAAATTTCCCACTACATTTTATAAAAAAAATGTTCTATAAAAAGAGGTCAATCGTTGATTTCTTAACTTTGTTTAAATGTGTAATAATTAAAAGTCCAATATTAATAAATTAATTAAAATTTTTTAAATAATTTTTAATGAGCAAAAATATTTATTATCTCTTTTTATATATCTTTTATTTCTAGTAAAATGCTTGAATACCAAAGAGAACACGCTGAAGCAGCTGTCGATATTTCAAATTATGTTTCAAATCCCATTAATGCCTATTTACTTACAAAACGTCTAACCACAGATTGGAAACAAGTGGAAAATCTTATGGCCCACGATGTGGGTGGAGGTAAAGTTTAATGATAATTTGATATTTAAAATTCAAAAATTAATTTGAAAATATTTATTCGTTGTAGATTTTCTTAGCAATATAACTAATTACCGCAACATTTTGAAATTCCCCTCTGATGAGGATTTGAATGGTGCGGCGGTGGCCTTAATGCGCCTACAAGATACTTACAATTTAGATACGTCAAGTTTGGCTAGAGGAGAACTTAACGGCATACAATACAGGTAAGTGAAATAATCCATAAATGAATTTAATTTAAATTTTCTAATTTTATAAAGGGTTTAGTTGTATTAAACCCCCTTTTTTTAACTCAACTTTCATTAATATATTTACCCCTTTTCCCTTTTTGTTGCTGAATTTTAGTACTGAAATGTCATCAGATGATTGCTTCGAATTGGGACGTCAGTCATATGTCAATCATGATTATTATCATACTGTTTTATGGATGAATGAAGCCATGACTAGAATGTTAGATGAACCCAGAAATCGTACATTAGCCTTTACAAAAGCTGACATTTTAGAATATTTAGCATTTTCAACATATAAACAAGGTAAGTTTAGTTAATATTAATTTAAAAATTTTATTAGTTTAAATTTTAATTTAATCTCATGAGCAAAAAATCATATCGTCATAAACATACATGGTAGAACTTGGTTAATATATTTTTTACCACAACAACTTAACATTTTATTTAATAAAGTTTAATAAATATAAGATTTGCATAATTTAAATAGATTGATTCGCTATTAAAAATTCTAATAAATTTATCTAAACATTCAATTGTCTTTTTGCTTTAAAAAACATTTTTAAATTTTTCTTAAAATATAGAATTAAAATTTCGTATTTAAAGTATAAATTCTTTTAAAACTCTGTTGTCATGGTGATAAAAGTCTTAATGTTGTTGTTGATGATGCAGTTGATGTTTCCTGTCAGTCATTGCTGTCGGTAAAAGCTGTTAAAAGGATGTATGTACTATATATAGTGCTGTACATTTGAAGATTGATATTAATACTTTGCCAATACATATTTTCCTAACGCTACTTACATGTTGCAACTTACTTTATCATGTTTATTATTTCTGCATCATTTTACAGTGGAGCAAAAAAGAACACTATTATTTTATTAAATTTATTATGTAGTTATTTAGTTACTTTTTTTGTTACAAAAGTAAGGTGCTTAGGACCTAGATTGTACTAATCTAGGTCCTAAGGAACGACTAAGATTAATTTGAAAGGAAGATGTTTATTGTAGATCCATAGAAATACACGTAGGCCACTATCGGACCTGTTGTGCGATCTGGTGGGAATTGACATTGTCATAAAGTGAATATTGTATATATGGCAATACCAATTGTTTTGGAATTTATTGTTGTTTAAAATTAATATTAAGATATCGCGACGAATGGATAAGATATAATGGAGGATATATTGGACTTTCAGATGATATAATAAACTTTATAAATCGAGGTGATGGAAAATTCTATGCCCCAAATTCGGATGTATACTTTTGTCTCTCCAATTCCACGTTTTTTCCTAATTATGTTTTTCTGCATTTTCAACACTTGTCTCAAATACCTATCACACTGTACTCTCAGTTTCTTTTCACTACCAACACATATTTCGAAATCCCTTTAAACCAACATCTAGCTCTTTCATCAACATTATATTTTACACATTTTCAGCGCCTTTTTATAGAAAAAAGTACATAATATGAAAAAAAAAAAAAATATAAAAAACTAAAATAAACCTTAAAAATTGAATAGCGCCATATTAAAATACACAACAAACTACGAGTACAAACACAAAAACATAGAAATTGAGCAACAGCATCAGGAAAAATGTTTCAAACACTAGAAAAAGAAAACAAACATTTATTTATGCCTTGGACTTTTATATAAACCCATATTTTTGAAATTGTTGAAACAAACTATAATGGGTAAGAGGAGACTAAATACTAACTAATTGAGCAAGAAAAGTTTCTTAAAGCAACTTTTCATTTAATTTAATAAAGACGAGCAAATTGCATTCAATTAAATGCTAACGGTAAATGAAATGAAAAATTTAATTTTTTTATTAATTTAAATTTTTGATATTAAGATACAGCTTGAATTAATTGATTCCCAATCGAAGTAAAGAAAAAAATTTAATTAGGCTCTTA